TCCGCTTCTCGAGAGTGACCGGAGCCAAATGGGGTTTGTCACTGTGAGGTGGCCGCTTTGCGAAAGCGCTTCAGCGTTTTGTGTCACTTTGCTTGGGTAAAACTGTAGTATTCGGCTACTTTAAAGTGGTACTTGACGTTAAAGCTAAATAGATAGGTTTTGCTTTTTCTTGGTAAGATGCATTTGCCCTCTTTTGAAAGTTAGAAGTGGTGCTTGAATTTAAACGAGTATGACATAGAATGGTTTAGGTTAGAAGGGACCTTGAAGATCATCGAGTTCCAACCCCCCTGCCATGGGCAGGGACACCTCCCACTAGACCAGGTTGCTCAAAGCCCCATCCAATCTGGCCTTGAACACTTCCATGGATGAGGCATCCACAGCTTCTCTGGGAAACCTGTTCCACATTCTGATAAGTAGCGTACATTAAAATCTCCCAAGTCAGCATAATATTTGTCCTTGCCTCATTTAAAGTGTAATGAACTATACGTATTTTTTTAGAAACTTTGATAATCACATATATTTGATTTTTGTATGTTTGTCACTGAAAGCTGAGTGGGATTTAACCTGCTTGCCTTGCTGTAAATACACAGGTGATGGTTTTCTAGTAGGACAGGTGTGAAAGAATATTCTTTAGAGTTTGGCTTTGTTTGAAACAACAGTGCATATGAGTTGCTGCTGTAAAATGGCTCTTCTGTATTTTGTTTAGGAAAAATGTAATCTTAAAATATTTTTTTTTCTTTACAGGACCCTCCGATACGTGCCCGAAAGCTCCCAAGACAAAATTATCTCTGATGAAGATGTCTTTGAAACACTACTGAAAATATTTAAAGCTCTGTTCATAAATGACTTCAGTAGACAAGCACATATTTTGGCCTTACTTCCAGAAGTCAGGTGTCAATATATGAAATTACTGACTGTTGAGCAGAAGCGATCAAAAGTAGATTCATGTAACCATCAGAATCAACATGTGTTTAGTCCAGAGGAAGTTCTGTTTAATACACTGGGGTTCAGTATTACTCGAGACCGTAGTTCCCTGGTGTCTGCTGGAACAGGAGTCTTTGTTACCAAAGGTTTTGTACCGAAAGGGACGCTTGTATCCATGTATCCTGGTAATGGAATGTCCTTTATTCTGATTAAGTTATATGGGATTTCTAACCATCTAATTATAGAATGCCAAAGTTCTACACTAATTTTTATCTTACGGGTTTTATTTCTGTCATTACCTGTCATTCACTGTAACTTGTGATTTTGTTAATATTTCTTTGTAAACTGACAAGTTCTTTTGGAAATAAGCAAAGCAATATGGGGGGGGTGGAGGGGTGTAATTCTGTTCATACAAAACCCCAAAACTTTCAGTACTCAAAGTCTGATTTTTCAGCTGCTAGAAAAGTTGTTTCAGACTCTTTAAACACAAATGCACAGGAGCAATTTCAAGTAGATGAACTATACAGTTTAATTCTTTGAGGTTTCTTTTTTGGATAAGGATCTGCAAAATGGGGTTTTCAGATCTCCACACAGATCAACTGAGAAGATGATAAACTTTTTCAAAGCACAAAAATACAAATTGACAAATGAAAAGAAAACCTTTATTTGACGGAACTCTCTTCCATAAAGCACATTTGGAAAATCAGCATTTCCCTGTTCCTCCACCTCATTTCTTGGAACTGTATTTGCTTACATTTCTTAAAAAGATGTAATTCTGACAATAAGGCCAAGCTAGACTGCTCTGCTGAAATTCTTTGGATTTGTTTCTGTTTCATCTGTTAACAGAGTCGTCCCCTGCATGCAGTCCGTAGCTTGTGCCAGCATTGCAGGATCGGGACCAGTCCAAGCACTGGGCAGCGGAGCATGTTTTGCCATGGCAGAGCAGGAGTGTCTGGCCATTACCATTGACTGGTAAACTGACTAATTGTCAAATGACAATCACAGGGAATAAGGCTGTGATCTTGCAGCTGGCTTCAAGTTTCAGGCACATACGAAGTGTGAGTGTAGGCTCCTGTGAGTGTAGGCTCGTTGAGAGTCTCCTTTAGCAGCTCATCCAGCAAAACAAGAGGGTGAGCTGTGGAAATGTCTGCCTTTTCTGCTTTTCCTTTTCATGGAAGTAAGCTGCAGGGCTGCTGGCTGGGCAGGCGACCCTGTGGAGAGACCAGCTCAGTGCTCTCCTGCCTGTCATTGGCAGTGAGTAACCTGCTGGCGGGGCATTCGCCTAGCTCCTCCTGAGAGTGCAACGAAGGATTTCTGCAGAGGGTTGCTGAAGATGTAGTGGGCGTGAGGGATGCAGGACAGCAATGTCATGAAAAATTGCAAGCCAGTGTGCTGTCATTTATGTGCTTGGAACCCAGAGCAGGTTAAACTCTGTCCACAGATTTAGGAAATGGTCTGCTGAAATGATTTGCCTGTTCTTGGTTTCGCATTTTCCCTCTCCTATACCAAGCAAAATCTCTGATAAGAGTGGTGGAGGGGGATGTTCCAGTTTCCTTGCTGTCTGTGTTTGTGCTTTTCAAAGTGGCCTGACATGGTAGCAACAGAAGAGCTCAGTATCTTCAGCTGCGCTTTCTTCAACCCATGTCACTTGGCATTTTCCTCTGAAACAGGCCAGTTGGCTGTGATGCTTTTATCTACCTCTCGCTACTGAACACAGGCCTTCTCTTTAATTATTCCCCTCAATGGCTTCTCTCTTTGGAGTATCTCACCTCATGTAGATTATTTTTTTTTGGTGCCACAAAGATGTGTCTAAAAGCTTGTAGGTTTACAAGTGTTAATGGTTTACAAATGTTGATGTCATTAACTGAGAGCAAGGAGTCTACCCCCATTGTCTCCTTTGAGTGGAGGGGACTGGATGATAACATAAGCCCATTCTGACAGTTAACTTACTTTCTTCTGAAATAATCATATCTGTCTTACAACAGGTACAGTATACAGAAAGCATGAGCCCATCTTTTTCCAGTCCCTTGGCAATCCCTTTATTTTCAGGTGCATAGATGGCATCCTTATTGATGGGAACGATAAAGGACTTTCAAGATCAGTGTACAGGTAAGCAGTCAAAAGAAATAGCAGATTGTCTCTCAATTGATTTAAAACAGTGGTACCAATAGTCTCAGTTCCCTGTTGTCTTACCATAAATTGGGTTATATTTTAGTATCGTCCACCTTTGTGTACCTCATAATGCAAACAACACAAGGGTAAGGGCTGCTGGGTGTGATCTGTTACGTACTTGTGTCTTCAGCTGTAATTCCAGTGACATGTGTTTTGATGTACAGATACTGTTTCCTGTAAAGCTACATCCTGCTCCTGTTTTAATAGGAGCAGGATGTAGCATCATTTTTTTTAAATGCTTCTGAGCTGTTACTCAAATCTGCTTAATGGAGTTAAAAAAAAAAAAAAAAAGCGCCTCTATATGGACTTCCTAATACCAAAAGGGTGACTGGTAACTCCCACTCTGGTCTACAGATGAGCAGCACTTAAGAAGGGAGGAGTAAACATAATAATAATGATAATATTATATCATGTTGGAAGCAACTCATAAGGATCATGGAGTCCAACTCTCTGATTCTCGCAGGACTACCTAAAAGTAAACCGTATGACTAGGAGTGTCATCCAGATGCTCCTTGAGCTCTGACAGGCTTGGTGTCATGACCGCTTCCTTGGGGAGCCTGTTCCAGGAACCAGCGACCCTCTTGGTGAAGCACTTTTTCCTGATGTCCAACCTGAACTTCCCCTGATGCAGCTAGCCTGGACTGTTTTAGCTTACCTTAAAATAGAATCTGCAGCTTGGACTGTTGTAGCTTACTTTAAAACAGAATCTTTAACAATTTGTGTTAAAATATGACATGCAAAGAAAATAATAAAAAGCAAAATGATCTAAAATAATACCTAGTTTGAATACTAATACCTACTAATACCAGATTTTAACTCAGGGAATGAGTTTGAAGTTGGTATTTTAATGAGCGTCTACATCTTTAGAGGTGAAGGAGATGTGAGGACCCTTCTGCAAGTAATGTTTGATGTTGATTTCTGAAAATGTACGTGGTTGTTTTGCGTGGGTTCTCCCACCAGAGCCTGAAAGACACCACACACTAGTAGGAGGTTTAAGTCTACTTTTTAAAGTATCAAGGTGTTGGTCTGTGCACATGCTCTTCCCCCGCCCCAGTGTTGTCCTGTCTCCCATTGGTGCAGCTGTAACGTTACCCAGCAACCGTGGCCTTTTCTACAGAAGGAAGTACAGATGACCTGTTAAGGGAAGGAGCAGTGATTCACGTTAATGCTGTTGGTCATTTCAGGTCTTGCAGCAGGAGAGATCAGCTTGGCCCATTTCAAATGAGCGACGAGAGCTGGCTCACATCTGCCCTGCAAAACCCACTGGCCGTGGGACAGTATGTCAACAACTGTTCACATGGTAAGTTGCCAGGTAAATTTCCCAGGCTTGCATTTGTCTTTATGGATACAAGTATTTTGGAGGTGCCGCAGAGAGCCATATAATGATCTTGGAGGACAGTAGTGCTGTTTAAAACAATACAAGCACTTAAGGGATAAAGAGTTTCTGAGGCCTTTTGTGACAGCTGGGTGTCAAAATCCTTCAGTGCGGCAGCAACACTTCAAATACCCTTATGCTTTTCTCACTCACTCTCCCAGATCCCCCAGTCTCCCTCCTGGTATGTAGAATGAAAGGCACACATCCCAAAACATGAGATGGTGAGAAAAGATATCTGGCAAAGGACCTAGACTGAGGCAGTACACCGAGTTGTAGGTCACATTCCGCAGTATGGTTCCAGCAGGCTTCAAGAGAAAACCATACACATGGTGACATATGCAGTAAGATTCTATCACTGCTCAGTTTGGACCACAGTACTTTTTTTAGACTTCCTTATGTTTATGCGCAAAATCTAGGAAACTGTTGGTATGACCGAGCTGTTGGACGTGAGGAGGGGAAGTTTATTTATTCTGTCTCACGCAGTATGTGTTGGTCTTAAGGTTTGGGGGGAATCAGTAATTCATGGGAATGGTTGTGAGATACATAGAGTTCAATTGCTACCATACCTAGCTTCTAAGTGTCTTTTGGAGCCTGCATGACACTAAAGGTACCCTGTCTCCAAGTAGCATGCAGAAAGGTTGGTAGAGTAGCAAACCAGGTATTGGCTGGCACAGAGACAAAAGGTCTGTCCCATGAAACTGTTTCTTCCAGGTCCAATGTGCATGTAAAGAAAATTCACTTGTTCCTGCTGGACAGATGGTGGTTTTCTCCCTGGCTGCATTTATCACATTTTTTGCCACCAGGAAAACTTCTTTCGAGGTTTTTTTTTTGTTTTTTTAACTGTAAAAGCAAATGTTGTATATTAACAACATTTAGCAATGCTGTAAACTACCCCTGGTGCTATGCAAGTTACGTCCTTTCATATACATGTTTATAGTCAGGTCATCCTGTTTAATGCAGTAAGGATGAATTAAAGGTCCTGTAGTTGGTTGTGTGTCTCTTGTGTAAATTCAAAATAGGACTTCAGAGGAGTGTAGTAGCTGCCAACAGAGGCATGGTTTTCAGACTTGATGAAGCATCTGGTACTTCAGCAGCAGTATATTTGATATTTTTACACACCTCTAAACCCTTTGTAAGATTTTCTCAGTATCTTAGAGACTTCTTTTTTTTCCCCCTTCTTTCTAGAAAAAGCAGCCAACGTGTGTTATCAGGAATTTGATGTGCCGGGATATTTTCCAGTAGAACTGAAACAGTATCTTCCAAACATCGTCTACAGCCATGACATAGAGAGGTTAGCAGCAAATCAACGAGCTCATAGATTTGTATGATACAAAGCATACTGTATGTGTAAAAAAGACAAACACGGTTGAAGAATAACATTACTCCATATGAAGATGAGTTATGGAAAAGTGTTCACCTGCATGGAAGAGTTAGCTCTTTGAATAGACTGATTTTAAGTGATTGACAAGACTGTTTCTTTTTGTTCCTTTTTCCACATCTTCTCAAACGAGATCACCATAGCTCTGAAGACAGTTTTACATGCAGTGGTTACACTATAGTGTGATTCTTCTGAATCCCATAAAGCACTATTTGTATTTTGCTTGCATTGCAGTACTGAGGATTTTCAGTATGTATTTAAAATGTAGTTAGCAACCCTTAACCAGTCAAAGCCCTTCCAAGGTAGTTGAGATACAGGCTTCGTACTCTCTTGTTCTCCATGTCTTCTGCTTATGTGAGGAACAAGCAGATGAATTTGCAAGGAGAAACCTAAAATTAATTTGTATTGAGACAAGTGAAGTACTATGTAGTATAAAGGCATGTGACTTTTTGTTACACTACGCAATTACATCCTCATTATGACCTGAAAATCCACCTCTTCTACAAATTAAAACACTTAGAAACATTTCTCAGTTTTTTGTTTGGAAATGTGGGAAAAGTCACAATTAGATGAGCACATATACGGAGGAATACGGACAACGAGGACAGAGGATACGTATGTCTGTCAGTGAGTGTGCTGTACTGGGATGTAGTCAAGGATAACTTTGAAGCTGTGAGAAAGTGGGTTCTAATGTTGGTCCTGCATTTAACACACCAAACTGCACTTCTCATTGAGTTGCTACCTTCAGGAACTAAATAATCCTCTTCATCTAGAGGATGTATAAGGATTTTAGGGCAGATCATCCAGACTTTTAATGTAATTCTGGAGCTTTTTTTTAAACACTGAAATTTGGCTGGAAAAAGCTATGGTGCATATTGGTAAAAAGGCTTTTCTGATTAAACTGAGACTGTTGAGGCAAGGTTAAAGATGCAGTTGTAATCTGCAGATAAATAAATAAACACTAATAAAAGAAGCGGTAAGACTGAACTTTCAGGAAGCCTTGATGCTGTACTTGCATGTGTGAAAGTGCAGTGAGCAGAGCTACGCTATGGGATGGTTTTCCAGGAAGGGGGAATTTCGCACTTTTCCTTGGAACTATCCAAGAAAATATGGTCATTCAGTCATCAGTTGTCCCACTGTACAGCCACTAGACGAGATCCCGTCTGCTTCTAGCTGCTTGTTTTGATATTTACAGTGCTGACAACTTAGGTCATCTGGTTTCTGTCTTATAAAAGCATTCTTAGTGTTTACCTTGTTGTTGTTTGATTTGTTTCAAAATGGCATCACAATAAATTTATTAGTAGTGGGGACTGTTTGGGTTGATGCTGTTCTTCACTTTAACATTCATCAGCATCAGAAGATTGTGGTCTCCATGCTAGAACAGATACTTTAGCTTTAGGGCATGGTCATTTACTTAAAGGAAGTTTAGGGTGGTGGCTTCCTAAAACATCTCTGTAGGAAAACTGTTTGCCAGCCACTGATTTCAGCTTGGAGTTCATGGAGAATTCGCCTGTCATCGTAGATTACAGCAGGTCTCTGGTGCAGTTCAGAGCTGTCTTTCGGATGTTGTTTGGCTGGGAGTGGGTTTAGCCAACTATCACCTGTGGGTAAGCGTGCCTAGAGGAGTGATTTCTGCTTCCTAAACTTCGCTGTAGCTTCTCCTCCTGTCTGTATAAGTGTCTTTTTCTTTGTCTTGACTGATTCTTTTCATTTCTAAATAATTGTGTGAGTGGAAACATTAATTTGCATACTCACATAGGCTGTTCTGGTTTTGGTAATTATATTGGGTTTGCTTATATTTGCTGTCTGTATTTCAGGGTTGTTTTTCCAGGCTCCCTGGCCTGCATTATGCATATTACTCTCAAAAGTAGTCTAGACAGACCCATTGTTTTAGGTCTTTGCCATGAAGAATTTAAAAAAATAAAAGGGAAATATAATTGTTCACTTCTACATGTTTTGCTTTTCCTTTTTTTACAGCCAGCTGAGGTGTGTAGTGCTTGTCACTCTCAGAGACATCAAGCAAGGAGAAGAACTTTTTTCTAATTACTACACTGTTGTTAACTGAATAGATTCAAGACTGAAGAAATCTGTGTCATTAAAATGCTTACGGTGTACATACATCAAGCGTCATGAGCATTTTTACGTAACAGAGAGCTGTGGCTTTACCACTTAGAAAGCAAGCTGCTGGCTTATATTTCAGGGAAAATACTACACACTTGGTGTGGCAGTGAAGGTTTAACTGTTTACATCATTGGGTTCTCAGCTATCTACTGTTGTTGATTTTGTTGGTTACTGTGCTCAGCTGTCTATTCAGTAGCTCACAAAATAAAAAAAAACCCTAAGTTCTGGACATGTCATTTGATCTTCATAGTTTGCACAGTTGTCTGTAACCGTGGCTCAGTTTTAATATTTTGCCATTTCACTTCTCATGGTTAAAGTGGACCCAGTTTATAAAAATGACTTCCCTCCTGTGACCTGTTCTTCAGATAATCCTCATAGTTCATGGTAATCACTAGTTCTTATTCTGGTTTTCTTGGGAGTTGGTCCCTTTGGTATCTGCTTCCTTTTAGAAGGTATTCCAGTGTAGCCAGTTGTCCAGATCTCTTATGAAGCCAGTTTTGGAACAGTGCTAATACACAGTTCAGATGAGACTGCATGGTGAGCTGTCATCAGGAGCCCAACTTGAGCCATGGCCTTCAGCTGTGCCTGCCTTGGGGTAGGAGGAAAGACGGCACGTGTCTTGAAGCCCTGTCCAGTCCCAGTTTCAGTGGTTCAGTGAAACTTTCCTGGCATGTGGCAGCTTTCACAGCTTTTATTCTCAAAGCAAGACAACTTCATGTTGCAGTGTAGCTGGAGGAAATAATACCAAGTGTGTTGCGTTTTTTTTTTTTTTTAATGAGTTACTGGCATAAACAGAGCCAGCCATTCCCAAATTAGTTCTTGCTGCTGTCTGTAAACTGCCTTCAGAAAGTAAACAAGAGACAGCTTGTCAGTCTTTGGGTCTGGCTAAACAGCTTGGGAAAGAAAAATCATCCCAGTATTTACTGCAAAAGTCCAAGCAAGCCTCTCAGTGAATTTGTGGTTGGCATAAGCTGATGAGAATGGAGGACCGGGAAATGGTGTGCTCTAACAAATCTGGTAGCGGCTGGGGCAGCCAGGCTGCCCTGCTTCACTGCAGAAGCATCTAGTCGACTTTCAGAACGCAAAGCTTTTCGGTGTCTGTGTTACTTGGTCTCCTTCCAAGCCTGAACTTTGTCTTTCATATTCATCTGGAAGTCCTCAGCCAGAGGAGGCTGGCAATTTCAGGAAGATTTAAATAGCAGAGCTATGAGGATAGTGTCTTGTGGCTCAGTGTGGGTTGTACAACTTTTATGAAGGTGCTGGGGACAACTTCGAGTGACAGTCCTTGTTGTGTCTTCACTGTGTGGTAACAGAGCAGAGCAGGTGGTGATCTCCAGTCCACTGAAGAGGACGCTCATCCTCCATCACTCTGAGGATCCCTTCTCTCCTGAGCTGGGCCTTCTCCCCAGCTCTCTGGGAGGAGGTTATTGGCATCTCTCGATCTCTGAAGAGGCGGCTGGTTGTCCGGGCACCTGCAGTGCTGCTTAGCGCAGCGGGTCAGGGTTTGTGGGTGGGAGGGAGTACTAGTCTCCGCGTGCCAGAAAAGGCGGGTGCTGCTCGTGTTCTCCAGGCTGAGATGCTGTTATGTGAGGGCATAGATTACTTCAGCTCTCTCATTCTACACTTGTTAATACTTTTTAAATGCCCGGGTTTGAAAGCGTAGTCCTGTCTGACGACTGCAGGCCTGAGGTTTACACCTCATTTATTGAGAGTGGTTGGCTTTACTGTGCTTGCTGCCTGCTGGGTGTGAGTGCTGCGCGCTAGCAGAGGATTGCAGCGCTGAAGCGCAGGCTGCTTGTCGCTAACGGGGTAGGTGGGACTGGGTTCTCTGCGCTGAAATATGGAAACCTGACCGCCTGCTTCAGGGGTGTTTGTACATGAGGAAAGGCAAGACCTGGCCTGCAGCTGACGGCAGCAGTTCAGTTCTGTCTGCTGGTGGCTATAGAAAGCCAAAAAGTGGCAGGATCAAGAGGAGGTGTGGTCAGGTCGTGTTTCAGAGCAGGAAGTGGCACAACGTGGGGACACAAGGAGATGGGAAAATGGAAGAGTAGAAATAACGGTCCAGTAAAGTGCTACAGCCTATGAAAGGACTTCAGGTATGTCAGACTTTTCCTTGTTGTCTTTAGATTCCTGTCTTGTCATTAAAGGTGAAAGTCATTCTAATTCCCTGTGCGTCCATTCATTACCACCAACCCAACACCACCAGTGCCTGAGAGAGAGGAGGATGCATCCTGACGTTAAATTCTCTATGCAATCTATTGATGGTTTCTTAAAAATAATAAATTACTCATTACAGTAAGTACAATCTCTTTCTTGAAAGATTATTTGCCTGGGTGGTTTTCATTGGAATTCCCTAAAAATAGGGACTCACTTGGCTAGCTCTGCCTGTATGCGTCTGTACACTCAGTGGTAGAAGAAGGAAAATCAAACTAAAATTTAAAGTAGTTTCAATTACTGACAGGCCAGGTCTGCAAAGTCCTCCCAGCTCTGAACCCACAGTCTGCTTGTGTTAAAATACTAATTCAGGAGAGAATTTGTACGTTTAAATCTGTTGCTGGCTGGGATCCTCCCTGGTGATCAGCAGTGGTATTGGGCGGGTCTGGGACGGAGGTGGCTGTCCCCGAGCAGCGCTCGCGGTGTGCTGGTGTCTCACGGGGCGCTGGTCACACACCCCTGCTTGGCTGCTGCTGAGCAGTGCTCGCGTAGCGACAAGGCTCTCTCCAACCCCTCACCTCCGAAGGCCAGCAGGGTGGGGTGGGCGAGGGGTTGGGAGGAGACACAGCCAGAACGGCTGTCCCAGGATGACCACAGAGATGTTCCATACTGTATGGTATCATGCTCCACAATAAGAGCGAAGGGGAGGGGGGGGAATTTGCCTTCCAGACCAGCCCCTGTGTG